GCCCTGTTTCATGCAGACCGGACTCGGACTTGAGGCGTAGCTGCATGCAGGGTTATGATGGGTTTCGTCGGTTTCGTGCTCGGAACCCCAAACGGTTTGCACGCAAGCAAGATCAAGTGCCAGTTGGCATCCGAGCGACCAGTGTCACACCGACTAGACTAGACAAAGACCAGTCGAGTGGGTGTGCACAAAAGAGGAGGCTGTTATGGTCTTTGATCCGCCTGTCGCCTGCTTCGAGTTTCATGCTGACTGTGTCGCCACAACCTGAACAGCATGCCGGCGCGCCTGCGCATGGGTTCCTTCTGACCGAAAGAGGAGCGAGCGAGTAGTAGAAGGACGAGAACTAAGCACAAGCATTGTGGTCAAGTCATGTTGCAGCTCTCAATCATCAGAAAATTGCAGCCGTCTTGGAAGCTGCAACAAATGTGCTGAAGCGATGGGGCAGCTGTGCGCACCGCCTCGGGATCTGCAAGCTCTGTTGAAGATGGCGAGGGCTCTGACACAGGAAAATGGGCAACAAGCAGGCACAGGCCAGAGCCCACTCCTCTCATCCTCTCCATGGAAACAACTTGCAACAGCGTATGTTGTAAGTAGGTTATGAGTCCAGACATCGAAGCTGGATGCTGGATGATGTTGAGATTCGTTTCGAGTTGGCTCCAGGTATGTCTCCTTCACAGTGTTAGTTTACGCGGCCAGCAGCATCTGATGACAGCAAGCATCGGGACGCAGCAAGATTGCATGTGTGGTGAAACATTAAGAGCCAGCAGCGGCTGAACAAATCGAGTTCCGTGCAACCTGGACAGCTGCACCGACTTGGTCAAGCATGCGGCGAGTAGCTGCGAGAAGCGGCTACGACCACAGTTGGCAAACGCTTGTTGTACTGCGACAAGATCGAAAACCTGGCACAGCAACACATGAGCTTAAAGCACATCGCAGCTCCGGAGCGTCGAACCGGCCAAGATGTCGAAACCGCGAACTCGCGAATGCCTGCAGTCTGTCGAAGGCATTTGGTGAATTAGCCACCGCGTGAAGGTATCACCAGTTGGTCTCGACCTGGTGGACTTTTATGTCTTTGGTGGTCTCAAGAAAATCCTTGCGAACTTCAGACTGCAGATGAGTCACGTTGTTTGCATGTGCGAATCGCGTCAGCCATGCTGGGGGATGCCAGTATCCGTGGGCCGAATTGAGCCGAGAGCCGGGGTCGAGAGGAACCCGGCCGGAGTCGGAACAGACCTGCCACCGCACGCAACCGCTCTCTGCCGGCAAGACGGAGGCTCTCTGTAGACATGTTTTTGACGTATACATGCTCTAAACCCGCAAAGGCCTAAACTATACTAAACCACTTGCCCATGCTCTGTTCCATAATCACATCCTTTACACATCTTTGAACGAGCCAGACTTCGAAGATTCAGGACTCCAAAAGCACTTTGGTTCGTTTGCTCGGTCAATAGCACCCGTATGGGTAGGAACAACGAACGCAAAGCATATAACCGGTAATGCCAACATTTCATGGCAATGGTGATTGGCGTTGAATCAAACAAACATTATTCCTGTTATGAAGTATTGCTGTGTGCTAACCGGGATCGTTTATGTATTCAGATTTCTTGATTCGTGATTAACACAGACACAAGCAATAATCTTTTTGTTACTCTCAAAACTGGTGGAGTATAACTATTATGACAGGACAAGGCATCATCTGTTACTCTTAATAATTTCTGTTAAGCATGATTAACTACCAGTACGGCTGTTATGATACTGTGGTCCTTACTGATGCTGTTGTTGTGGTTGGTATTTCGCGATCCGAGCTTTTTCACAGTGCGAAGGAGTTGTTGTTTTGATGGAGTTTTGAAAGTGTTTCAACTTAGTCAGTTTAAAGGATTGTAGTGGTCTCAGACATGTTCAGCTTGAGTCGAATCAAGCTCGTACTTCCCCGCTTCGTCCCGGCTTTTGGGCCCCAAGCAGGCAGAGCTTAGACCTGAAAGGAAGACAGCTCCACCCCACGGCCTGCTCCGGTAGTCGGCCCCTGAATGGACATCGGCCGTTCCTGAAACGACCCCTGCTTGCGCTCGACGGGGGCGTGCCTTTTGTTGCGACACGGCCCGCGCACCCGCGCACATTCCCCAAACAGTCCAGCGCGTTCCTGACGCAAGTTTGCAACTGAACAGTCACTCTCCCGTGCCAGGCAGAACGGTACCTGCCAACCTTGGTGGAGCGCTTGGAGGCCGTGGCCGACAAGGTTGGCCTTGGCCAGGCAGGGACCGGCAGCGAGCTGCGAGCTTGGTGGAGCGGCCCGCGGAGTCGTGTGAGAGGAAGACATCGTCATCCGGATGACCGGCTGCCCGAACTCCTGTGGCAGGCCAAACAGGGGTTTGCATCCGGTAAGGAAGCCCAGTACATGTCTCCTGGTCCAGGCCTTCGATGGCAGAGATTGGCTTCATTGGAAAGGCCTCATGCAATGTAAGTGTTACGTCTGTACTGTATCCTGCCCGTACGACCAACCAGTCAGCAGCAAGTTCGTTCCATCCTGCATTCTACTCATGCACGTTCCTGGCCTCCCTTTGCGTTGCATGTTTTGCTTTGCCTGCTTCGAGGCACCTGGCACCTACAACATGTACCTAGGCCAGGCTGCGATGCCACATCACTTGCTGAACCTGCAGGGAATGCGTGCGTTCCTCGCGCATCTGGTTGCGCTTGCGGCTTTCCATTAGCTGAGCTTTGCCCACAATTTGCCGCTTCAGCATGCCCAGATTGGCAGAAGCTGGCTTGGCGAGCGTTTGCTTTTTCGCTTTGCAGCGGAAGCCAGGGGTGAGCGATGGTCGATCCTTCGGCTCGAGCTCAAAGCTCAGAACAGGACTGACAGACGTGATTTGGAAATTCGCGAGGTGCTGATTTCGTGGGCCAGCGCTTGAACACACTCTTTGCGGAGTCCGTCAATGAGGCCACAGATTTTCATGTGAACGACAGGCTTTCAACTGTCAGACTGTGGGAATCTGTGGGAATGAGGCGTTGTGGCAATGCCTGGGCAGTTTCAACGTGAGTAGTTCTTCGTGGCATGATGCAGAAGCCAGGACCAGATTATCCAGATCTTGACACCAATTTTCGGCCGCTTCGCGCAGGCAAGCGGGTTCCAGAGCTTTGCTGGGGCTTCCTTCCATCTCTTTTTGCAGCACCACCTCGGCGTTTGATTTAGCATTTTTTACACATTGCCGGATAGCTGCTGAGAATCTCCCACTTGGACATGAGTGGTCGTGTCGCGAGTAGTGCAGAGGCGTAGAATTGGATCTTGGAACTGAAAGCGTCCCCTCAATTCCGTGCTGAACCTGGCAAGAGCACGTTCTCTTCATTCCACATCTACTATTTTCGCCAAACATTTATATAAAGCTTACTGCAAATGGGCTCACGTGAGACCACCGCCCCCAGCGCGTGCTGGGCTTTTACTGAGTGAAAGGTGCGAAACTGTGTGTTGAGGAGCGGGAGAAATGCGAAAAGTTTGGAGACTTCCTGATCCGCAAGCAGATCGTCAAGCCGCCTCTCAGATGCCTCAGAAGTGTAATTACATCGCTTCCTGCAACCAGCGATGAGAAGTCCGAAAGGGCACAGCTTAGAAGTTCTTAGAAGCATCACAGGTGCATGTGGGTGCGAGTTTCGGACAGCTGGATGAGTACTCAATCTGAGATCTGGAATTCGGTCCCCAGGATGAACAATGGCCGTGACTGGTGGACGACCCCGGAGGTCTGAAGGAGAGCATGACATGGAGGTGAGACTTTACAGCATGCATTGTGAAGTTCCTCTGGTTGTCCAGAGACGCAGGCATGCTGAGCTGCAAACTGTACAGCAAGGATCCCAACACAATTTTGACGTCTTGTCTGTCCGTCAGAACTGGAGAGTATGACGCTCTCCCTAATCCTGCTTTGTCGGCATCTTGCAGATGCTTTACCAATGCGGAGGTTAGACGAGATCTTGGTACAAATGCAGCCTAAGACTATCTCGTCTTGCTTCCAGGCTGTCTTTAGCCTATTCCTCAGCACGGGCATGGCGGCTCTGTAGTTCTCCACATGCAAAACTTCCGCATGCCCTCGCACTCCACATAGGACACGGGCCAGCGAAACCGTGTACCTCAAGCGCTGGCCCTAGGGCCCTAGAGAGCCTAGAGAGAGCCTAGAGCCAACTTTCAACTTTCAATTCCAGCTGCAGCCAGTGCACAGTAAGTGCAAAAAAGAAGCGCGGACATAGCTGAGCGAAACAGGCGACAGTCCGGCCGCGGTGCCTTGGATACCTAAGCAGCAGGGCAACGAGTTTCTGAGGTACTGTATTGAGGGGCTGATCCTGCAAGTTCGCTCGGCATAGTGTGATGGTGGCGAGGTGTCGTTCGAGCGACGGGGCCAACATCGATTTTCCCATGCAGACCTCATGCGGTGATGCACCACGAAGAGGGGCGAGGCAAAAGCAACCTTCCTCGCAGGATCTCGCAGGCACGTCTCCTTTTACACTAAACTTGGAGATCGGCAGTCAAGCTTTCATAAGCTCTCCGGTTGCACTGCATCATGCCTCGCAGCTTTAGCGCTCGAGAACATTTTTTAACATCTGACACGACATGCAGGGCGCCAAAAAGTCTCATCTACTAGTATCATGTTGTCACTCCAGACAACAGGCCAGTCTGACCTCACTGTGGCATGGGTTCTGTTCTGGGCAACAGCCGGACTTCCGGCATTGTCTAGGTGCAAAACAATTGCAAAAACTAGACTGGAGTGGTGGCAATTCTGATATTGCTTGGTCCGTTCAGGGATCGGGTCGCCGCTCACCGTGCGGTTGGTGGCGCATGTCGACTTCCCGGAGACCGCCGTTCTGGCAGGCAATGGCCGTTGAACTGATTACAGCTCAATGACTGAACAGGCTTGTTCCTCCAAGCACAGCATGCAAGCACAGCTGCAAATGCCACTTCGCAAGATTTGGATGGTAGAGCCCAGATGCAGGCGTGCCTGTTCTGAGCCCCTTGCGTCATGCTGGAATGGCCAACCGTGACAACGACCCGAAGTCTGCCGAAGAGGCTGGAGGGCGCTTGTTACCGGTAGACGGATCTTCGGTATCTCCGGCACACTGCCTTGCCTGCAAGAGATGGACATCAGCCGAGGCGGTTCGAGCTTCTCGACTTGCCTTCACCGGAGAGCCCGAACGCACGGCCGTACATTGCCGCGTTGTCAGGCCTTGTCCCGCCCCATTTGCAAATGTCGTACCAGGGCGTGGGCCCACTTTCGCCATCAAAAACATGCTTTGCTGCACGGAAGTTGCAATTCCTCGGACGTTTAGCTCTCGATGACTTCGGCAACAAGGCGTGTCAAAGGCTTTAAAAAAAGGCCGGAGACAGTTTCCTGGGCGTGAGATAGTTCCCTCGGCGTAGTATTGGGACATAGACAAACACGCAGATGCATGGCTACATAGATGCATGGTTTGTTTATGTTTTTGATGCATGCATGCATGGATCGATGGATGCACGGAAGGATGGACGGACGGATGGATGGATGATGGATGGATGCATGTTCGTGTATGCATGTGTATACATACATACATATATATGTATGTATGTATGTATGTATGTATGTATGTATGTGTGTTATTGTGTGTGTGGGGAGGGGGGAAACAGAGGGTAGGACGTCAGCCATCCAAGTCAGCGAGTGTTTCATCTACAAGCAGGGGGTGCGGCACTCTGCGTGAGCAAGAGTTACGGGATTCTTGGCTATATACCTGCAGACAGTAATGGTTCGGCATGAACGGCGGAACGTAGCTTGGGCACCGGGTCTGTCTTCATCAGGTCAATAATCACGCAGGCTTTGAGGCAGTGCTCGAGCGCAGTCAATATGGCAAGCCCCTTGGTCCATGCAGTATTTGGAATGTTATGTTGCAATCTGTTGTCGTCAGATATGTACCTTGCCGTGGATGATTAAGCGAACCAGCCTATTGAAGACCTCCCTGCATCTTGCTTCTGCGAGTCTCAGATGGAGTTCTGAGTGGAATATCACACGCAGATTGAAGCTCTCGGTGATCCGAGTGTCTGTCTTGTCTGTCTGGCTGTCTGCCTGCCTGCCTGCCTGCCTGTCTGTCCGTCTGCATGCATGCATGCATGCATGCATGCATGCATGTATGCACGTAGGTGTGCATGTATGTATGTATGTATGTATGTATGTATGTATGTATGTGTGTATGCACGTATGCATGTATGTATGTATGTAAGTAAGTAAGTAAGTAAGTAAGTAAGTAAGTAAGTAAGTATGCCACTTATGCATGTACGTATGTATGTTGCAGGGATGGATGGCTGGCTGGCTGGCTGGATGCATGGACGTCTGTAGGTATGTACGTCTGGATGTCTGTACGTCTGTATGTATGTATCTGGTAATGTACTACAATACAGTGTTGCATGTGTTTGTGGGTCGTCACGGGCCGAAGGAGCTTTATGCGAACCGTCCGCCTATGGATGGGTGTTCGCAGGCGAACTGACCATGGGCCTCGAGTCGCCTGGCCCCCTGTCTCGGAGATGGACGCTTGGAGCGAGGAACTCTGGTCAGCATCTGGGCAGGCAATTGCAAGCGACGAGAGACCTGTAGTTTTCAGCCTGTGGCCGTCCCTTGGTGGGTTGAGTCAGCTTATCGTATCTCTACCGACATGAGCGTGAGGGCAAACGCAGAGAAAAGCAGTGCACGCACGATTAGGATGTTTTAGAAGCATGACGCAACACAGTCCTTCAGATTCAGGTACAGAAACCCAAAGCTGGACTTGTCGCACGTGTGTGTATTTGGAGGAGCTTCAGTTTCTTTTGGATTTGGAAGTTTCACTAGTGTTTCTTCTGACTGTTCTCCGGCCGCATTCGAAGTGTTTAGCTTGGCTGAAGACGAGCAAGCTGAAAGACACCATTTCAGCAGGCCGTAGCACCGGGCAGTCGCCAGGTTTTCGCCCGCGAAATCCCTGGCGCGAGCAGCATTAGATCCAATTGCGAGTTCTCCTCAGAATCGTGGCTTGGCTCCCCACCGGGCTGGTCTGGCGTGCAGGTTGACGAGACTTCAATGTGTTTTTTGGTGGTTGTGAATCGTGACTTACGAGTACAGCATATCTTCACTTGGCAGTGACTTGGCAGCCCGCCAGCCTTGGGAAAAGAATGGTTTCGTGGAATGCATGCTACAGACTATCATAGAACCTCTACCGAAAAGCCCTTCGTCTCTGAGGTTTCCAGAAGGCAGAGGAACTTTGTGATGCCCTTCCTGTGGAAGCAACCCTGGGCGGTCGACGCTCCTCCAGGCCTTAAGTGGCAGGGTCGCCTTCGTCTGTTCAGTCTCAGCACCAGCACGCAAGAGCACGGAAGATAGGAGTCTGGGGACGGCCTTAGACCGCAGATTCGTGGTAGGTCCTGGTAGGTGAATCAAAGCATTGCTGCAATGTTTTTCACAAAACCAATCCTTCTGCTGTCAACAAGCGCGATTCCCGGACAGGCAGTGGATTCTGCCACCATTGGATGCGAAGGTGGAATCTGAAACTTGGTTTGCGTAGGACTCGAAGCACGATCGTCCAAGTTGTGGTTAAAGGTCAATATTTTGAGGTCCATTCGACGGCGGTCCGTGGCTGTTTGCTCTTCGCTGCTCAACCAGGAAGTGGCCAACGACTTCTATCCTTCTCGACGACTCAAAGGATGTAGAGGACAGGGAGACTTCCAAATTCAAGCGCATCTTCTGGGACTGTGTCAAGCCTCTGCACAGCGTTTTCAAACATAAACAATGAAGACACAACACCGTAGATTCTAGATGATCAAGCAGGGATACTTTGGAGGCGCATCAGAGTATCTGGCTCGGCAGCCTCTGGTCAGCAAGAGTTTGTGCTCCTGATGCCCTCGTTTAGCTTTCTCGTGCTCTTTGCTGTCAGCTGCCGTCTCGTACTGGTACAAGCTCATTATGTTCATGGAAGCTCCACTTCAGAAGATGTTGTTGTGCTGAGGTCTTCGAGACGAAGTGCGACGGAAGTGTATGAGCTGAACTTCGTCAAGGACCGCAGGCTCTCAGGCTCGTTCAGGCTCGGCCACGTCTCGCTTCCACTCTGCGCGCTCTGCGAGGAAGCCTTTCTCCGGTTCCGGTCGGACAGCGCGGAGTTGAATGTCAGCGACCTTCGACTCCCGGCAAGACTTTGCACACACGCTGTCGGCCGGCATGTGGCAGAGGTATGCTTGAACCACGCACGCAAAGTGAAATCCAGTGGCCTTCGATTCTAGCGTTGTTATGCAGCATTATAACTCCTAACGAATTAAAAGTTGCCGTAGTGAGACGAAGCCAAGTGGAGGAGATGTCTTGGACCACCTGGGCTACCTCGGAATCACAGACGAAGCGGCTGCTTCTCTGGCCAAAGAGGTCTCGCGCTTCTCAACCCTGGACTTCCAGGATCAGTGTTTTTGCTGACAGCTTCGCAGCTTACCGGGAGATCCCGGGAGCTTCGCGGCCTCATGTTGGCCAAGTCAGGAGATGCAGAGGGTGATCGAGTGCGCCGGGAACTTCGAACACCAACAGATCGAGCAGGCGTTTCAGAGACAGGCAAGCGTGATGAGGGCTTGCACGTCATCTGAACACACGCAGCCAGCTCAGTCTGAAGCACTTTGACAAATCAGCAGTGGGCCCTGGTCTCCTGCAGCCTTTTGCGAGGAAGTTGTCTTCTGTCACCTTAGTGTTACCTCCGAAAGTACGCCTCCCCCGCAGTGCCAGGCCGTTGCACAGGAAGATGGCGCCCACCTGCACGTGAACAGACTCTCGGCACCCCCTTGCATGATCATGTTCTGGTGTCCGGTTGATTGTTCACCGCTCTCCCTAGCCCTTCACCACTCACTCAACTCCAAGGACTACAGTTCATCCTCCATGAACTGGGTGCTACCTCTGACGGCCAAGCGGTGCGCGAAAGCCTTGCAGCATGGGCCACAGTCGATCACAACTCCTCCTCGAGAAGAGGTTCTGCTATGTTGTTGTCTGTTGTCATCGTGCGAGAATTTGACAAAGGGCCACCACTTGCATGCCCTTCATAAGCCCCCAATCTTGCCCCACTCGCCTGAAGAGCCCCTCTAAGCCAATTTAGGCCACGCCAGAAGGGCACGCACCTCTGCTGCCAACCATTGTCCACCCAGGCCTCAAACCTGCCGGAGCCTTCTGCGACGGACGGTCAGCAGGCTCTTTCTCAGCCCGCCGATTCGGATTCAAACAGGTTTGTGTCAAAGCTCGTCACGGTCTGCCACAGGTGCTGCTAAATCCACACAGTACCTTTTCTTTTTTGAGCATGATCCATGCGTGCAATCAGACCGCCGTCTTGTATGGAATTCAGGCTTCACATTCAACACGCATCGCATGTTTGCTGCAAGCCAGGAATGCCCAGCGGCAGCCTCCACCTGGCTCGACTTTGACCAGGTGGGGGCCCTTCGCATGATGCGATGTGGTGGCCAGTTACCACGTTTGATTAAGGCTGTGCTTGAGTTCGGGTGGCAGGTAAACTATTTCCTGGCCACACACCGGGCAGCTCAATGTTGCCACCGGGCAGCAGGCAGCTGGAGCAAAGCGCGTTCTTTGACTCTGCTTTCCCGAGGCTCCGAGGCGCTGGTGCAGAGCGCAGAGACGATCTTCAAGTCCTTGGCACATCGGCAAAGTGGCCGCCTCGAGGCCAAGCCGAGCCGCAGAGCCACAGGGACTAGGACCACTAGGACCTGGACTTAGACTTACGTGTCTTTCCTCCGGCTCAGCCGAGCAGGTGAGTGCCTACCGGATCCCAGAGCTCCTCAGTCGGCTCTTCGAGGCTTGCGGCTTTAATTGCTGGTCCCTGTCCTGCGTGCGACTCTGGCCTCGGAGGATGACGTGCTGCAGTCCGTGAAAGAGTTATGCTGCTTGGCAAGTGTGAGATGCTCGCACAGCCGTTCCAGCAGAATCACTTCGAAGCTTTTGCTGGGGTTGTTCGGGTTGTTCGGGAGCGGCTCCGCAATGAGGGGATCATCATGGCTTTTCTCGGTTGGGGGATTCAGCTATGACTTTCATCTTAGCTTAACCCGCAAAGAACAGCGGCATGCGTGTGAGTTGCTGGGGCTAAAGAAGGCAGAGAGGGCTCGTGGTACCCCAAGACGAAGGACTACTAAAGGAGAACAGTCCCAGCAGAGTTTCACCCTTCCGGAAGCACTGAGCGGCGGGGTCGTAATGGTTCGCTTCTCGTGATGGTTCGCTTCGCGAAGAACCAGAAGACAAGTGAAAGAGAGAGATATGAACGGAGGACAGGGCACTCGTCTTTGTTCGTGTGGCTTGCTTTTAACCATGAGTTGGCTGCCTGTGCCCAAGCCAACACCCATCCTGTCTAAGCCTTTGCAGAAACTGTGCATAGCTTTGTCAATTCGTTCGGAGCATCCGCCAATGCCGAGGCCAGAGGCTCGAAAGCAACGAGGCTGCCCAAGGCTGCGAGAGCCGCTGGGACTGGGTTTTGGTGTGGTGAGTCCCAACAACGCATGACACGGCTTCAGCGCAACGATTCCTAGGCATGTTCCCTCTACCGTACATGACCAATCATTGCATTATGGGGCTGCGCCCATGGGCGGCCGGGGTGGAACAATGTGCCCGTGCCACTCCTCTCATTGCGCCGCCCCCACGAGATGCTCACTCCAGTTACTGTAGTTGTGGGCGGGAAACAGATCGTGTCCGGTTTCGAGCATATATGACCTGCAAATACAACTGTGCAAACATCTTCGAGCAGTTGGAGTTCCTTTTCCCTCTCCTTCGGACTGTATGGGCTCACGGACCACCGGTCTGCTCGTGACAAGATACCGGCATGTACTAGTTTCGAATTCCCCTCTGTTGCAATTTCTACGTTCTACTCGCTAGGTTAGGCAAGCTTTCCAGCAACAGGTGTTCCCATATCGTGCTGCCAAACATTGTTCACTCCCTCCCTCCCTCTCTCTCTCACTGACTGACTGACTCACTCACTCTCGCTTCGATCGAAACTTCCTTGGTTGATCGACATGTGTTCCAGGCTTCTGGAAAAGCCTTCACTTCTTGTTAGCGGTGAGACTCATGCACCGATGTTGTCAATAGACAATTAGCAGCCAACTTCTGCAAGCGTGCCGCAAGGGTTCATGTGTTCGGACAAGGCAAGCAAAGAAGCCGAACCCAAGTCAGTTTTGCATGTTTTGCTAGCTCAAGAACCCTCGCAATGGCTGTTGTTCAATCCTAGCGAGGAGCCACAGCACTGTGCAGCGTGCAGTGGTGCTTTGTTTACCCAGGCTTCATTCGTTTAACCTCTTTACATACATAGGCAATTCATTTTCCTTCTCTGAGGGTGTCGGCAGGTCTGATACTAAGGTCGGTGCTGGCTTACGGCATTCCGAAGCTAACTGACTCGCCCGCAATGAGCAGAGCCCGCTGAGAGTCCAACATTCATGCGTATGGGGACAATAAAACCATCGCAACTACAAGAACACTTATCATAATAATTATATGTGTGGTGGTTGTGGTTGTGGTGGTTGTGGTTGTGGTTGTGGCGCGGAGTGCGCGGGGTTAGCCTGCCCATCATATCCGCCCATGCTCGCCGATTTTCGCTGTTCCGTTGTGAAAGCTTCGGACCGAATGTAGTTGCACGTGCGGGTGCTGTTGCTTTAGGCGCGGGTCCGGGAAAAAAAAGATCTGCTGAGGCGATGCCTCCGGAGACGAGGGTGTTGATGTCCACCGGCGGCGAGCTTACGCAGCTTTCGTAAGTTCGCAGGAATTTGCAGCGACATGCATGTGAGGCCATGTCGGTCCATGGGCCTTAGCGAATTTCTTACCTGGCTCCGGCGCCTCCGCTGCCTTCACTTACGCCGTGCCTGGCAACAGTATGAGGAGGCACGACAACAGAATGTCATGAAGACCAGTCCAATGGTCCAATAGTTTGTCCTGAAATCATAGTCATGATTTATGCCATTTTCGCCGCAGGCATGCGCATTTGAGCCGTCATCTGGAATGAACGCATCTATCCTGAGCTGGCCAGGTAGCATGCTCTCCAGGAACCTTGGAAGCAAGAAGAGCTCTTGAGATTACTTGCAGCTGAAGCTCCCTCGGCATTTGGGGAGGTCAAAATTAATTTCGAAATCTCGATTCTTGCGCCACGGGCAATGGCCGTATATGATAGTTTCCACCGCAAGCCCGGCCCGTGAATCACGAATCGGAATTGCGGGTGTGCTCGAGCACGACCTGGCAGCAGGGCTACAGCAGTCCAAAACATAGACATAGAATTCACGACATGGCCTGAAAGGCCATGTGTCTGTAGACGTCCTGGACTCCGTGTTGCCAGGCACGGCTGGAGTTGCGAGATGAGTGGGTCGAAGTCGAGTCTTCTGAGTGCTGCTCAAACGCCAGATTGGCCCGCGGAACTTGAACGCCGAGCCCGGCACTCAGGTCAAAGTCAAAGTCGCCGATCGAGCTTGCGTGGTAGAATCCTGCTGCGCAAATCCTGCAGGATGAGATCATGAAGGAGGACGGCAGGGCTTTACGCACTTTTGTTGTGAGCGGTATCGTCGTCTCCATTGGGTGGACACTCCTTGGACCATCATACCGGAGTGCGCAGGCTGGCCTCCAAGGGATGGAAGTGCTCAGCTTCGACGTCGTGGATTCGTTACGCCGACGCTGCTGCTTCCTAACTCGCAAATGGCAGTCTGCAGTTCTGACGAGTGCGACAAACTCCTAAACCCGAAGGCTTATGGGAGACAAGGGCTGCAGGCTTTGAGCCGTGCGATTGGGACAACGACAAAGTCGTTTCTAAACGATCATGTTGTCAAGGTAAGTCGAAGACTAGGCATAGGCACCAGTATGAGATGTCGCAGAAGTGTCGAAATGCCTAGGCTTGATGAAGGACTTCTCCGTGTCGGAGGCTTCTCAACTTAGTGGGCAGGGGTGCTTTTGGTTTGATTCTTCAGAGTTTGAAGTTGAAGGCAGGGAGGTAGCAGCGTCTCAGCTCCAAATCTTGGAAGAGCAGCAATTGCCCGCAATAAAGCAGGTGATGCGTTCTTGAAGACCCCAGTGCCATGGACATCCAATCCAGGCGATGTACTTCACAGGTGTCTTCGGGCACTTCCAACCTGAGGCCCGCTCACTGCTGTTGGTGGAGGGGCGGTGCTCGTTTTGATGATTACGGCGACCTTCGCTCTCTTGGCACCAGATCGCATAGACACCACAACACCAACGGTCAGGGTAGACCAACATAGACCAACGGTCAAAGGTGCTAATAACTGTTTATCCTATCTTGCTTCCGCACACGTTGATTCGGCTGGGTCCTGAGCAGGATCGTGTTGGATTCGTCGACCGCGCGGACTGCCTGTGTTTGTTTCGCTACATGGGCTGCCTGACGGAGATCTCTGAGTCACACACTGCAGACTCTGCACCTGCAGCTTGTAATTACTTGTTTGGTTGAGTTTGGTCGTCTCGTGTTCGTTTACGGGCCTCAGGTTTTTTTTACATCAGGTGGATTCTGCTGGAGCCCTTGGACTGTTTTGTTGCTTTTCTGTTTAGCCCCTTGCTAGGGCTGCTTGGGACATGTGCAGAACTCCCGCCAGACACTGTAAAAAGCTGCTGGAACGGATGGCACATGCCTTTTGATGCAGCTTGAGCAAGTAATCATGCCCCCACGTACGTCCAGCACAGGTTACGGCCTCAAGGGCGACGAAATCTACTCACTGCTTTTGGATGCCAAAGCGGCGGGTCATAGGCTGTTGAGCCTGAGCGCAGCCCAGCTTAACTTCGCTGTTGGACTGTTACGAACCCAGGAAAGCTACATCGAGTTATCCTGGCAGCTGCAGGTAAGTCAAGTAGATCTGACATGTGCAGGGTCTGCCCAAGAGGTCTGATGTGCAGCTTTCCTTGCACCGCTGCTTGCAAAGGCTCCTGGAGCCATGATCAGTTGTTTCCGAAGCGAGCACAGCTTCATGTCAAAGAATCATTGTCATAGTAGCTGAGTCGTGGTCGCTTGGACGAGTGGCTGCACGTGTCCTGACCCATGTTCCTAACCGCGAACGGTTGCCCTTTAAGCCTTGCAGTATCACAGCCGCATTGCTGGATTTCTGAGGATTTCCTGAGCATGATGAGGCTCGGCGTCTCGAGGTTTCAGTGTTCAGGGTTCTGATGATAGAAAGCACTGTGCTTGCTGTCAGAAAGTTTATTCGTCTCGAGCAGAATCAGCTCCCGGAAGACAAGTCCAAGCCTGTCCGTGCGGGCCATTACTCGTAACGGTAATTCCGCGAACACGTAGGTCCGCAGGTTTCCATGCAATCCACAAACCCTGGCAGGGCATGCCGCGTGCGGGAGACAGGCATGCTGAAAACAGCATCCCTGCCGAATGTTGCGACACAACTTGCGCAGACGTTTTACCAGCTTCAGCTTATGGTTCGATGGGTCTTGCGAAGTGATTTCAGTATCCTGTTGTAAACAGGTGGAGATTCATTGGAAAGTGGGGCTACATGCAGTAATTACTTTGATGTTCTGTTGGTATGTCTACGACATGACTTTGCATGTGCAATAGCGTTTAGATCTTTTCCAGAGGCTTGACTAGTGTTTGACTCGATTGATCCTCGTCACAGCCCGTGATGTGGTACGCAGCTGTTCGATTGCTGCCTCGATCGTGCCGTGAAGCTACTCTCCTGCCTAGTTCGAATGAGGCCTACGAGATGAAGGCGCAGTGTTGGCCTCAGGAGACTGAAGATGTTGGAATGGCATCGACAGGGTTTCTCATGAGATCTTCGGCAATTCGGGGAGCAGTTGAGTCGTTGACAGCAGAGCTGGGAGCTGGTGATTGCCATTATTGCAGTCGTTGCTGAGGGACATGGGCCTGTCGGACTTGAGTGACTTCGAGGAGACAGGCTCCGGCCTGTCCGTGTCCGACGTGGAGGAGCCCCTTGTGCACTGTATAAGCCGAGAGATCAGAGAGCAGGCCCCAAGCATCATAAAGCATCCTAAAGTCCTCGCTTGAGTGCCTGCGCAGGACGGTCCCAGTGAGCTCGTCCTCAACAGACGACAGAGCACCTGGGCTGCCGCCAAGCTGGCGTTCGGATTCCTTTGAGACTGGCCCTGGCAAGGCAACGAAAGCTCCAGGGCGGCCTTCCGGCGGCGCAGCAGCGTCAAGCAGGACGCTCGAGCTCCTGCATGCTTCTGCGTTGCGCTGCAGCCGAATGCCCCCGTCCAGGATGCGCAGTCCAAGAGCCAGGCGCCTTCGAACTGAGTGGCCAGACTGTCCTATACTGTCCTCGAAGCGAACCTGCCGGAGCCGAGCCTCGAAGCGCTAAGACGCACTGTTTGGGACCTTGGCTCTTGGACAGGTCAAAGGCGAGGGCCTCGTGGTGCCTTCTGGTGTCCTGGAGGCCCTTGATTGATCGTCAATACCTTGCTCTAAGGGCACCAGATGGGGCTTCTGCCGTGTATTTGCAGCGCCTTCTTCAGCTTTTGCATCTTCTTTGTGCCCTCCTGATTTGGGTTCACAGTGATTGAATTTGGAGCAACGAGCCCACTGCTTGAAACCGAATCTTGCTCCGTCCCTGACGACACCATGAGCGCAGGCGCTAGGTGCTGTTGGCTGGTCGCTGGCCGAGGAGGCGCTGTACGAGGCAGCTGCGATTCTACTTCGACGATCGAAGCAGCTGGAGCCAGATGACAAAACAGCGCCCGAACAGTCCCATCCCGTGGTTTGATTAACATCCTCTGGGCACTCGACTCTGAAGGCACTGGCACGCCTCGGCTTGACTCGGAACTTGCTGAGCCTGGTGGAGTTCCAATCACTAGCAATGTTCCTGAGGTTGAATTCATGGGAGGGTTTTCGTGAGATTGAGATCAAGAGGGTTCTTTGTCAGAGATTGTTATGAATTCGTGTGAAGCGCTTTCAGCAACGTGCGGCGAAGTCTCAGAGTGACTGAGGCTGCTACGTGAGGAGGAGGCCACGCAAAAGCAGACCCGAGCCGGTTGGTCTACTTCCGAGGCAGGTGCAGCCGCCGTTGCAGTTTCGCGTGAAGTCCTGCCACGGGGAGAAGAAGTAGAGTCGACCCTGCCAGGCCCGAGACATCCAAAGCCTTTACAATGCCCATGCCGGTGAGGAGGGTCGCTTGGATGAGGCGGCCACGGTCTCAAGATGGGAACTCTTGATTAATCACCCACGCAAGGTAGGTCAGCTGGTGGCCTG